ATTAGTGATTGGTGATTAGTGATTCGTGATTAGTGATTAGTGACTCGTGATTAGTGATTTGTGATTAGTGATTAGTGATTCGTGATTCGTGATTCGTGATTCACTCACTCACTCACTCACTCACTCACTCACTCACTTAAAAACTCAATTCGGAGTCGTAAACTACAGATGTAGGACTATGTTATTTTATACAAATTTTGGTTAGCGTTTTACCATCTACATGATATTGCTAATTTAAGTACAAAATTTCACAACAATCGGTCCAGTACTTTCGGAGATTATTTGTCTAATAAAAATCCGGGACGGCAGACAGACGGACAGATAGACGGAAATGGGAGACCTATTTCTTCATCTTCTAGGTGTCATGAAAGATCGAGAAAACGTAAAAGTAGAGAGTCGGCCGACGGACTCGATTACAATACTTCCTTTGCTTACGCTCGGGAAGTAAAAAGAATAAATTGAAAAACTGAAAAATCGAGAACGAAAAATTGAAAAATCAAAAACTGAAAAATCGAAAAATATAAATACCGAAAAATTGAAAAATCCAAAAAAAATCAGATATCAAAAAATTATAAAATCAAAAAATCGAAAACACTCAAAATTGAAAAACAACTGAAACATCGAAAATGTAAAATTTTAAAAATCGAAGAATTGTAGAAGAAAAACCGAAAAATCTGAAATTGAAAAATTCTAAAATTGAAATGCCGAAAAATGAAAAATCTAAAAATTGAAAAATCGAAAAACCGAGAAATCTAAATTAAAAAATTGAAACATTTAAAAATCAAGACAACCCAAAATGGAAAAGTTCAAAACTGAAACATTTAAACTTTAAAACTTAATAAATTGAAAAAAAAATCACGAATCACGAATCACTAATCACTAATCACTAATCACGAATCACTACTCACTAATCACTAATCACTAATCACTAATCACGAATCACTGATCACTAATCGCGAATCACGAATCACTAATCACGAATCACGAAATCACGAAACCAAGAAATAACGAAATGACGATCAATGATCAGTGATCAGTGATCAGTGATTCGTGATTAGTGATTAGTGATTTTATTTGTTTGGTGGTTTGCAATCTTGGGGTTTTTCTTTCTGATTTTCCTTTCGGATTTTTTAATTTCTAAGTTTTGCAGTTTAATTTTTCAATGTTCCTATTTTTTCCGATTTTTGTAGTATTTTTTAATTTTTCGTGGTTTGGAATTTTGGAATTTTTCAACTTTTAGTTTTCGATTTTTAATTTTTCAGTCTCTCGATTTAAATTTTTAGATTTTTAAATAACAACCATTTATTTACGAAAGTGTTCATTACATAAATCAAACTAAACAAAATAAATTAATGTTTTATGTTTAGTATTCCGATTTTTAGTACTTAGTTTGATTTTTAAGTTTTGATGTTTCAATTTTTCGTTTCTTCAATCTTACGATTTTTTAGAAATGTGTTAAATTGTTAAATTTTTTACTTTTTCAATCTTGCAGTTTTAAAATTTTTAAGTTTTTCATTTTTGATTATTAATTTACTCGGTGTCTCAACTTTTCAATTTTTCGATTATTTAATTTTTCAGTTCCTCAAATTTTCGATTTTCCATTCTTCAATTTTTCAGTTTTTTAGACATTTTAATGTTTCCTTCAATTTTGCGTTTTTTCCTCTCTCTATTTTCTTTACAATTTTTCAATTTTTCCATTTTCTATTTCCCAAAGTCTTAAACTTTTCGATGTTTTATTGTTATAATTTTTCGGTTTTAGTTCGTTTTTTTCCGATTTTTGAACATTTTTTTAATTTTTAGTTATTTTATTTTTTGCTGGTTTCTAAAGAGTATCATAATTCTTTAGTCAAAATATATTTGCTTATCCCCTCCAAAACATTGATGACGTCAGCTCGAAACTTTGCGGAATAAATCGTATCTAAACTGTACAAAATATGATGAGTCTGTACTTGTGATTTATCACTCTATTCATATTTTTTGGATTTGCATATACAGGGTGACTCAAAAAGATTAATGAATGCGTAAATTTATTTTACTGGTTTACTCAAGAACTACAAAGCCGAATGCTTTGCAATCTTGAAGATGTTTTGACATTATCATAAGCATGGTAAATTTTTGATCAAAATTTATTTGGTCGTCCCCCCTAAATAGTGTATGACGCCACCACAAAATTTTGCTGAATAAATCCTATCTAAAATGTACAAAATATAGCGAGTCTCTTCTTGTGATTTATCATTCCATTCAAATTTTTTCTATTTGCATATACAGGGTGACTCAAAAAATTAATGAATGCGTGAATTTATTTTATTGAGTTAATCAGGAACTATAAAACCGAATGCTTTGAAATCTTCCAGATGTTTTAAGGTTATAAAAAGCATAACAAATGTTTAGTCAAAATATATTTGCTTATCATCTCCAAAAAATTGATGACGTCAGCTCGAAACTTTGCGGAATAAATCCTATCTAAACTGTACAAAATATGATGAGTCTCTTCTTGTGATTTATCATTCCATTCATATTTTTTCGATTTGCATATACAGGGTGACCCAAAAAAAATAATGAATGCGTATAAATGTGTTTTATTGATTTAATCAGGAACTACAGAACGGAATGTTTTGAAATTTTGCAGATGTTTTAAGGTTATAAAGAGCATAATAAATTTTTAGTCAAAATATATTTGATTATCTTCTCCAAAAAACTGATGACGTCAGTTCAAAAGTTTGCCGGATAAATCCAATTTAGAATGTACAAAATATGATGAGTGTGTACTTGTAATTTATCATCCCATTCATATTTTTTGAATTTGCATATAGCGGGTGACTCAAAAAAATAACAAATTCCTAAATTTATTTTATTCATTTACTCAGGAACTACAAAACCGAATGCTTTGAAATCTACTGCGAAAAAAAAACATAATAGGCATTCAGTCGTCACATTTCCGACAGCGAGGGAAGTACTGTCTAAACTCTTTAGACCAATTATTTCATTTTCCCAAGCAAAATTTATTATTTTATCAGTAGATGGGTTTAACGTAAAATATTGATGAATTTGACGACTTTGCGTAATAATCTTCTGAATTATCCACCTTTAAATTTTTTCTGGAACGACTTTTTTTTAAACTCCATCAATATCACAAAATGTAATTTAAGCATAATTAAATTTTGAAATAAAATCTCATGGTATTAAATTCGTTTTTCTTGTAGGTACACTGTTAATCAGCAAAATAGCAGAATGTAATCGTTTTTTATTGAGGAATAAAAAATTTTCGATTTTTGCATAATGTGGTGTACAGTAAGTAGATAGAGATATTAACTTTCATCAAAACACGTGGGTACTTTCTACCTCATACTTGATTCATCAATGCCGCTGCGTATTCCTAAATCCTGTACATCCAAGAAGTATTATTTTCCAGGAGCTAATACTTTTGTAATAATACTGTGAAGGCTTTAAAAGTTGTTAAGCCAGGTGCTTTAAATTTCACCGACCTTGTACCTTGTTAAACTTTACAACCCATTATAACTGCCACTGTCCCTTAATGGGGCTGTAAATTTTAATTTAGTTGTTGTTGTTATTTTCTATTGTAAGAGTAATAATGTGATCCTTACTTCTGAAGCAACGTTTGAAATGTTCAGCTGTGTTTCTTCACAGTATGATGCAACGGGCGATGATGGACCTCGCCAGTCACCCTCAAATAAATAATAATAATAATAATAATCTACTTAAGGGTCCGTCGGACCAAGCCCGTATTTCTGTTTCCTAAATTAGGCAACCCACAATGCAGAGAGTTAGACAGCTGTCAATCACTAGGCAGGTAAGCTGATCGACCGTTTGAGACCTTCATAAAAGTTTATTTAGGAGAAAAGATTAAGGAGATAAAAGTCTCACAACTAGAGACAAGATTTTAAGAAAAATGCGTCAAATCCCGTCTCTGCTCATACTCGTAGTACGTACCATGTTTCTCAGAAAAGGGCGGGAAGAGCAAGTATTAATTATTAATGACTATACAGGGTCGCTAGAATGAATGAAAACGGTTAAATATCTTGAGAACCAATTGTACAAATCAACTGAAATTAGGTATACCTAGGTGTATACTACCATATAAATCATGCATTTCGAATAGAGTTCTTTTTTTTCTGAATTCATTGATATAATACAATCATACTTTCTTTCTGTTTGAAATGGCAAATAAACTACTATTTGAGCAAAACTTCGTATTTTGTCACCGTAACCGATAAATTATTAATAATTCTATGTGCTGAGTTTCGCTTAGATAGACCATTTTTGCAAGAAATACCTTACATGTCAAATTAAAATTATTTTCAAAGGTAACTATGTCATCTTTCTTTTTTTTTATTTTGCCATTTCAATTAGAAAGAAAGTGCTACGTCAATGATTTCAGAAAAAAAGCAAACATTTTTGACGAATAGAGCATTTCGGTAATCGTGGATGGAGCGTGGGGCAAGCGATCATATAATAGTTATTTTCCTAAGTAAGTCATCGATTCCGAAATGAGGGCAGGTGTTACCGAAACGAGCGTAGCGAGTCTATATGGATCTTAGTTATTTATTGTTGGTGACTTTAAATGTGCTGATTTTGTCTTATCAACGTTAAATGTAAGGCCATCTTCTAGTTCGTATAGATGCATCAACAGTTTTATATCCTTCTTTGACTTAAAGCAATACAATAATGTATTAAACGCCGATAGTAGAATCTTAGATCTAGTTTTAATTAACAACGAAATTCAATGTACTTTTTCAAAATCAGATGATCCATTCATAAGAGAAGATGAACATCACCCTGCTTTAGAAATTGATTTGTTTTTGTCAAAATCTCGTATTAAGAAATTTCCCACCTCATTTCATTCGGATTATAACTTCAAAAAATGCAATTTTATTTCGCTTTATGAAGCACTATTATCAGTAAATTGATCTTTTCTTAATGGCTACTCCAACGTTGATGATGCACTTTCCCATCTCTACCTTATATTGGATCAAACCAGAGATATGGAGAAGGAGAATGAGCTTCGACTTCTGCGCATCGGTACACTATGGGGGCCGCCATTTTATCAGTTAACCTTAAAGTTTTGTTTACCTACGAGGTTACGACGTTGTTGAACCAGTTGTAATTTGGAGTTAAAATTATTACTTAATTTGTTTTACCGTTAGTGTACGTGTGAACGTGCTTGTTAGTGTTAAAGGACATTATTATTGACAACAAACATGTCTTGTACAGTTTCTCACTGTAAAAATTGTCAACGATTTCGTTCAGAAGGTGTATCTTTTCATCAGTAAGTTTTCTTCATTATCTTATTAAAATCGAATACGTAGATATTTATAATTAATAACAATTGGTTATTGCAATACTATGTGATCAATATTGATTATATCTGATTTTAGGTTTCCGAAAGATCGAAAACTTTTAAAAAAGTGGCTGATTGTTGTGAAAAAAGATGACAGCTTCAAACTGACTAAGTATAAGCTGGTGTGCTCAGATCATTTCACAACAACTGATTTCATTGTTGTAAATGAGTGAAAACGATTGAAATCGAACGCAATTCCCAGTGTGAATTTAGATGAAAGTCTAGAAGCTTCTTCAACTTCAATGAGTACTGTGAGTGCTACTTCAGCTGATATTTGAGAAGAGTCTCCATCGATTATACCTCAAGGTGTAAAGAGGACATTAAGGTTTGAATATTTTATTATATTGAATTTTTTACTACTGTTAATAATTATTATTTAGTGCTGCGCAGAGATACCATGGAAAAAGCAGTAGCAGTACAAGTGGAAGTAAAAGCAAGAACTCAAAAAGTAGTTCTGACAGTAGGGAAGGTGATAAGCTGGCGTTACATAAAGAAACTTTATGAATTACAAAATGATGAATTCCTAAATGTTGCAAATAAGTTGAAAAAGGCACATTTGGAGTGATGGAAACATAAAATGAAAGTAAGTTGTTTTCCTTACAATATTCCTTATTGACAATAATTAAGTTCTATTATAGGTGAGTTTAGCAGCACAAACTCTTAGCAAGAGTTGCGGATGCACTTGAATTTTTAAAACATCTTGGTATTAGTGACTTTCAAGGTTGTGAAATAACAATAGAATTCATCAGAAGGATAGATTCTTTATTTGATATTCTCAATTCCTGAAGTGTACGTGCTAGAATTTTAAGGCACCTTTGAGAGAAAACAATGAAGAAATGTGGCGTCCATTTCTCATCGACACCAGTGAGTATCTTCTGAATTTGAAGGATGTCACTGGCGGGCCTTTGTGGTGCACGCCCCGAAAAACGTCAATTCTGGGCTTTGTTATTTCCGCTACGTCGTTCATGGGAATTTTTGATGAATTTGTTAGTAGTAAGAGGTTGAATGACTTGCTAACATAAATGTAGTCAAGATCATCTAGAAATTTTCTTCTGCTCAGTGCGGTAAGCTTTTAAAAAAACAATTGTATTACTTTTTTATGCACTGGAATTACACAAATCTGTATTTATTTTTCTGTTTTCAGATCGAGAAATGGGTGAAACAATAACCCTACTCCTCTACGATTTTGTAAAACTTAGAAGATTGCTTCTATTTACAAACATAACGAGGGAAGGAGGAAATTGTAAAGTGCTTTGCACCACCTGTCTGCTCTCTGTTAGCATTGGCCCAAAGCAAAAGAGCACAAATGTTCAACAATCAGTTGACGTGTTTGTCTTGAAAAAATATGATCTCGATATTTTGACTGAAGCACTTGCAGATCATGACTATGAACGTCTAATTTTATTGGGCTGAGTGAAGTGGCAGAAAACGTGGCATATATTGGTAGCTATGTTGTCAAAATGCTGGTGAAGACGTTTAAGTGCGCAGACTGCATTTCTTCTTGCATTGAAACACGAGGAAGTGACTTACAGTTTTACAGATTATTGGACAAAAAAAACATGGGTAAAATAAAATACTTACAATAGTTATTTTTTAAGTCTTAACAAAATTTTGATTTTAGGTGGGCTTATTAAACCTTTTGCTGGGGTTGTGAAGACTTGTTGTTACTGTTAATACGAAAAATTTTGCAACTCACCAATAAACTTCCAAGCGATGAACAATTTTTTAAAACTTTCGGCATGCCAGCATTCTTTTTCCTAATTTAGAAGACCCACGCACTCGAGACGGTGGCCATCGATGAAGGCCATTTATATATTCTTATTAAACAAATAATTAATGCCTACATGCGAATAAGAATGTTTAATTTGAGCAAAAGACTTTCATGTCTTGCTCAAGGCACTTCTGTTAGACATGTGTACACATAATTAGTACTGTTTTCGCATCAATAAATATATTGAAGTATAATTATGTTTATTTATTCGTTTAAGGTGAAATATATTTTAGTTGTGATTTATTATTAGGTGATTGTAATTAATGATTTTAAACTTCCCGCCCAATAATGAAGCAATTGTCTAGAGATATCAAGTTCTGCTAGTGATTTGTGATTATGTTGGCAACAGTCAACTGATAAAATGGCTGCTTTCAATTTTAGACCAAGGATTTCGTCTGCGCATGGGGAAGCTCATTCTCCTTCTCCATATCTCTGGATCAAACACGCTAAAAATTGCTAATAGCTTTGGCAATTTCCTGAAAACAACAAAGAGCGTAGAAGCACAAAAACAGTCGGACCAAGTCCACTTTCAAATTTAAGGGGTGACCGCAACCTCAGAGGCATCCATCATCGTTTCTCTGACATAATAAATAGGCGAATGTCATTATACCAGTGGTGCTGCTTTACAAGAATTCCAACGAAATTTTGCAGAATTTAATTATTTTATCGTTGCTGATTTTTACAACGTTGTTAAGAAACTCTCTGCGAGTATTTCGTGAAAGAGGTGCTATCCACAACAAAAAAGGAGCTGGACGACAAACATTGTGTATACCAATGAAGTCATAGAAGATGTTGATGAGGCATCTGTCGCAAGAAGTTGGACTTTCCGTGGAATCTACGTGCCAGAAAATTGTGAAAAAAAGCTTTCACCGGTACATAGTACATACGATCTTTGTCGTACAGCGGGCCGCATGTTGACCATGAAATTGGGAGGGTCAAAATTATCCGGCCTACCTCCTGCCGACCCTAAATGATTCTTCAAATTACTCGTTTTATAATTCTCTGTTTAGATTTTCTTTTATCATGTTTTGTTTGTTTTTAATAAATCCGTATGCAATAAATAATTTCACAAACATAAACCATAAAATTATTATTACATTTTGATAATATGAATTTTTAAAATGATTGAATGAAAGCATTTACTTACTTGCACAGTCACTAAAAGTATGAATGGAACAACAGCAATTTATTACTTTATATCTGTGTACCTAAGTAACTACTTATTTAAAAAAAAAGAAACAAAATATAACTGCAATTTAAAAATTCATCGCAACAAATTCAAGAGCATTGCGCAACTTTTTAAAACTATTAGAAAAATTTTAGGATACTTTGTTAACATTTTGTTATAATAACCGATTATATTTTTTGTCGATTTTTAAGTTTCTCAACTTTTAGTTTTTCAGTATTTTGATTTTTCGTTTCTACAGTTCTTCAATTTGCATTTTTTTATTTTCCACATTTTCGATTTTGCAATTTTTCATTTCTTCAGTTTTTCGTTTTGCAAATTTTGGTTTCGGTTTTTTGTTTTCTTTATTTTTTCTATTTCTCGGTTTTCAGTGTTCTAATTTTCTAATTTTTCTCTTTTCAAGATGAAAATTTTCAGTTTTAGGCTTTTTCTATTTTTCGATTTGCAATTTTTCGATTTTTCGACGTTTATATATTTTAATTTTTCGTTTTTTTAAGTAGTTATATAGTGGGGGTTCTAGACCAGGTCAAATGAGGTCAAACTGGTCCAGCTCCCCCATTACTTTTCATCGAGCGGTCATTGACCTTTCATTTGTTGTCGACCTTGTCGGTGCACGTGGCTGACCTTGCCAGCTGGTCCAGCTCCCCCATTACTTTTTATCGAGCGATCATTGACCTAGTCGTTGCTCGACCTTGGTCGTTTATTGCCCTCGTTCATCTCGAGATCTATCCCCTCTTTTCGTTTAGGTCGGGGAGGGATCTCGGACGCAATCTCGCATCCCCACTTCCGTTTTATACTTGTATAAAAGTCGATGGATTCGTCTGTAGGAATTACGTCTATTGCCCTTGGTCATCTCGAGATCTTTCCCCTCTTTTTTTTTTAGGTCGGGTCGCTGCACGGGGCTGGCCTTGGCTGACTTACCTTAGGACTGCACGTGCCTGACCTGTACGTTTTGACGCCGCCTTTTACTCGATCGACCTGACCCGTTTTTCCATAGTCAGGTTGGCCGAGCGGTCTAAGACGTCAGATTTAAGCTCTGATTCTCGAAAGGGAGCGTGGGTTCGAATCCCACACCTGACAGTTTTTTTTTCTTTCGTTATTTTGGCGTTTTGAGTTGCGATTAAATAAAACACATTTTAATATAGTATTCTTTATTGAGGAAACCTTGAATACAACCAATTGTAAATACATTTAGCATTGTTTAAGGAACAGTAACATTTTTTATTATTAGCAATATGTTTATCACATGCCGGGATTTCTTTAGATAATTTCACAGAGTCTTCAATTGTTTCGAGGTTCACAATTTTGGGGCAGTCTTTTCCTAGCGTTTCCTTAAGGTAATTTTCTTTACATTTTCCTTTTACATATAAGATCTCCACTGCATATTCCTTGATGTATTTGAACAAAATTTCTTTTACAGATATCTGCTCCTTGAAGCCGTCATTAAATCTCAACATGTGATGATAACGTTCTAGATATCTAGCTTGTTTCTTCGTTCTTTCATCGATTTCTTTGAGTTGTTTTGTAGATTTGAATGTTTCGTGTATTGTGTTAATTCCATCGTAAATCGCAAGTTCTTTAACAATGAATTCAGGTAGACAAAAACCTTGTACGTCGACTACAACCAACTTCATCGTATCAATTATGTCAACTGACTGAGAGGAAAGCGACTATGTAATTTTTTTTGTATCAATCCAACTGTTGTGGGTGTTATTAAATCCTAACCATTTTACATAAAGTTGATTACCTTTCTTTTTTAAAACTTTTTCAACGAGATATACACCTGGATGCTTAACTTTCAATAGTTCCATTTCATAGAAACCACCTAAAATGTTTTCACCCTTTTCATCTTTCAAAAAATATGTGGTGGGATTAGTGAGATTAATTTTTCTTATTATGAAAATCTCATTTGACCAATTGGGTGTGTATCCCTTATCGAATATTCCGCGATACTTACTTATTCTTACGTTATCACCAACTTTAAATTTTGATTTATTGCTAACTATTTTAATCTGAGTATAAGCAGCTTTTAGAATAGCGTTTTCATTACTTTTGTTAACTTGTGACGGTTTCATTTTTATAGTACGATGATAAGAATTATTATATCGATGTACCACATTTGTCAATAAATCTAACCATTTATAATTTCCTTGCAAACTAAATTCTTTCCACATTAAATTTTTTAATGTGCGATTTACTCTTTCGACGATTGAGGCTTTTTTTAAACTGTAGACATTGTAATGATTAATTTTGTATTTTTTCATAATATTTTGAAACTTTACGTTGTAGAATTCTTTTCCTTGATCTGTTTGTAAATTTTTGGGTAACCGTACGATTTTGGATAAAATAGTTTCCATTGCAGTGGCGATTTGTTGAGCATCTTTTGACTTTACAGGGACAGCCCACACGTATTTTGAGAAACAGTCAATAACAACAAGTATATATTTGTATCCTCTGTTTATCTTAGCATACGGTATCATTTCCACTAGATCTGCTTGTAATGTTTCATTAATACCTTTTATTATAACCTTGCGTCGTTTAAAATTAATTCTTACAGGTTTGTGCAATTCTGCAACAATATCTCTTTTAATGGGAGTTGGCTCATACACCTTCTTGCGTTTCATTTTTATCAGTCTTATGTATATAATGTGCTTTCTCGGCACTAACTAACGATTCTTCAAAATTAACAGGACATTTTATTATCATTTCTGCGAACAAATTTGGTACATTTTCTGTTTTATTTACAGCATATTTGAACGATATTCGATCACCGTTACGTAGTACAAATCCTTTCACTTCTTCTTTACTAAAAAATTTGTTATTTACATAAACATTTATTTCATTACTGGTAATATTCAATTTTGTAAGGGTTCCAATTTCTAAAGGAAACGTATAGTGCGTTTCTTTAGAATTTAATACATACGTGTTTTCCACGGTTTTATCGGATTCGAAGCGAAATATCAGATTATAGAACATATAGTTTGAAATAGTAATCATATCATTGTCGATAGAACCTGAAAGTTTAGCATGTTTTAACAAATGACGCCCGAATTTATCCAGAGTCATATTAAGCAATAATTTTAGCTTCGCGTAGTTCTTCTATTATAGAAACGATTTCGTTTTGATGACCCGAATGGCCTGCTGTCTGGGAAGCGACTAACAACTTCAGTCTTTCAACTAATTCATTTGGATCTTCCCAATACACATAATCAACTTTATTTGTGTTTACTTCTTTAAATAGTACTTGACCACCTTTCTTCGGTTTTTTATACTTCGTGAGAGTTGAGAATAATGGTCCTATAATATTTTTGTATTTCATCGAACTTGTACCCAATATTCGATCATTTTCATTGAAATTTCTTCGATATGCATTGGTTTTTTCTAAAATTTTTTTGTAAATTTCCTTGTCTTCCGTAGTAAAATGAACAGGCTTCTTTTTAAAAATAAGTTCATAAATTCCAGGAGTCCCTTTAAAGATTTCATTGTCTATTTTTATATCTGGACCTATAAATTGTACCTCCTTCGAACCAATATAAAATTTCTCTGAGAAAGTGTCATGTCTTACGCCTGTTCTGTGATCAAATTTACTTTCTGCATCGTGATGCATTTCATCAATATATTTTCTGGGTAATTCATCAAAATCATTTAAATATTCGTTGTAAACGTCTGTATCAACGATGTTTTTAATATAATTTTTACTTAACTGAACAGATTTTTCAAGAACCTCATTGAAGTTATAATTATCATTGTCTTCCTCGGGAATGTATTGGAACACATTGTCCTGTGCATCTGTTTTATTTATTGATTCTTCGAAATCTTCCTGTGATAAAACATCATATTTTGAACTAATCGGACTCATTCGATCTTCTTTTTCATTTTTGATGGCATCGATTCTTTTCACAAGGTTAGTAACTTTTGTAGCAATTCTTTTTTGTCTTGGCGTGAAAATTTCTGCTTGCTTTGGTGTAGTAACAATAGTTTTTTTCTCACGAACAGGAGACAGAATTG